TTCCCAAGATCGCTCCAGGCCTTCACCAAAGTCTCACCAAGCCTACTACCCGCAATTCAATCATCCCAGCAACCACAATACTGCCCCCACCTATCCAAATGCTCAAATTTTGTCATACCAAAGTCCACTCCCAAATCTCCAAAAATTTTCCCCTATATACCCAAATTACCCTTAACCTTACCAAATTCCAACTCCCTATCAGAATATTGCTCCCAACTGTGCCAATGTACAGTCGAGCTACTGAGCGCCCTCGCCCATTTATCAAGTCCAAGCTCCAATTTATCAAAAACCCCTCCCGAATTACCAAGCTCCAGTGCCAAATTATCAAACAAACCCTTATCCTAGAAGCCAAGTTCCTTGTCCGAACACCCAAAATTATCAACAGGTGCTTCCCCCTCAGCAAAGCGGTTATTATCCTTCCCGTCCGAGATTTGACAAAAAGCCTTCAAGGAACTTTATCGCACTTGCTGAAAGCTGGACAAAACTATTTGAGAGACTAGCCGCAACTGGATACATCCACCCTGTGAGGCCCAAGCCCGTGGATGTCAACTCAAAGTTCTACAAGCTAGATCAAAGATGTGCTTATCATTCCAATAGTGTTGGACATGACACGAAAGATTTCATCAACCTTAAGCACAAAATCTAAGACCTGATCGATCAGGAGGTAGTTTCTCTTCAACCGGCGGCGCCAAATGTCAATACAAATCGGTTGCCAAATCATGGAGGTGGCAATGTTAATATGATTGAAACGGATGAAGACGGGTGTGGAACAAAGATGATTACTCCTATTGTGAATGAGGACTTGGAAAGGGCTGTCGCTTCTTTAAGCGTCAAGGAAAGGAGAGAGTTTGTTATTCTGACACCTGCAAAGGTTGTTGCCTTGGTGCCTTCGGAAACTCTCGTCAAGCCCAAATTTGTCATTGAAATTGTTGTAGCCCAAGGCATGACCAGGTCCGGAAGGTGCTACACTCCTGATGAGCTTTTATCTCAGAGGACAGAAGAAGGACCATCCTAAGAGGCCGATAAGCGAAGGGGAAGCAGAAGAGTTCTGGAGAAGGATGCAACCGAAGGACTATTCCATTGTCAAACATTTAGAGAAGACTCCGGCTCAGATCTCCATGTGGGCCCTGCTGATGAGCTCTCAGTCCCACAGGCAGGCCTTAATGAAAGCTCTTGACGATACATATGTACCTCAGGTACAAGTAGTGATAACATGGCTGCCATGATTCATCAAGTTATTCGGGGGCACCGAATCAACTTTTGTTACAATGAGTTGCCAGTCGAAGGAAGATCACACAACAAAGCGTTGCACATTACCGTGATATGTCGTGACAAGGTTGTCAACCGTGTTTTGGTAGATGATGGATCCGGTTTGAATATCTGCCCATTGTCGATGTTGAGGAACCTAAATTTTGACCTCGGGAAAGTGAAGCAGAAAAAGGTTAATGTAAGAGCGTTTGATGGTGTTCAAAGAGACACATTAGGGGCAGTGAATTTGACCCTTCAAATGGGCCCCGTAGAGTTCGGCGCACAATTCCAAGTATTGGACATAGACACCAGCTACAACCTTCTTTTGGGAAGGCCATTTATCCACATGGCTGAAGCCGTCCCCTCTACTCTCCATCAAATGATGAAGCTTGTAGGAAAAATGAAGAGTTAGTGATTCACGGCGAGGGAAGTCACTCGGGCAAGCAAGTGTTGGTCATTGATGAGATGCCGCAAGGTGCAGACTTTTACATAGTGGAGCTGGCGAATGCCACCGATGAAGTTTTGTCCCCACAGACCCCCATGCCAGCCATATACAAAATGATAGCCACGGTGATGCTGCAAAATGGTTTCGAGCTAGGTTTCGGATTGGGAAAAGATTCCCAAGGAATTATTGAGCCTGCTCCGATCCTTGATAAAGGATCCATATATGGTTTGGGGTACAACCTCACAGATGATGACGTGAAGATGAAGAAGAAAAGGGATCAAAAGTTGGCTAAGCCGATCCCGCATCTGTATCAATCCTTTCCAATCCGGGAGTATGACGAGCCTGAAAACTTTGGGGAAGGAATCTGTGACCTCTTCGAAGAGATCAATGTTGTTGTTGAGGAGGAGGTCGAGTTAGCTGGTATTCGTGATGCTGAACCAGGGGAGGTGTTACAGAACTGGACTTCCACGCCGATCCTGATGTCCCGAACTCTTTGGTAGAAAGGAGTTATTTTATGCACACTAAAATCGGTGGTTTTCCGGAAGATGCCCGAGACCCACCATTTCTGCATTTTTCTCAACTATTCAATTTTCGAATTTCTGTTGTGATGTTCAAAAATGCAACATGACCCCCATGCCATGGCCAAACTTTGCATTGTTTTAAATGAAAGCCTCTTTATTTTTAACTTTATTCATTTAACTATTTGTTATACTTTACTTTTCTAATTTTGTCTATTTACGATTTCAGTAACATAAGTTACCGACCCGCCAATCTCATGTCATGTCACGATCTAAATGAACAAAATGAGACAAATGACAACAAGGTTGACGATTGTTAAGAAGAAAGTGGGGAACCAGATTACATCGCCGAGGAATTTCGACAGTTCGAGAATCAACATAAACCAAACCTAGAGGAAACGGAAACAGTGAATTTGGGAGATTCGGAATGTGTCAAAGAGGTTAAGATCAACCTTTACCTAAATGAGATCCAGAAGGAAAGACTGGTTCATTTGCTTGCCGAATATAGTGATGTGTTTGTTTGGGAAGTCGGTGATATGCAAGGGTTGAGTACTGATGTCGTATCTCATAAGCTACCGATCAACCTAGGGTTCGAGCCGATGAAGCAAAAAAACTCGAAAGCTAAAGCCTGAACTGAGTTAGAAGATTAAGAAAGAAATCACCAAGCAAATATAGTACCGATTGGTGGAAGTAACACCAATATCCAACTTGGTTGGCCAACGTCGTTCCGGTCTCCAAGAAAGATGGAAAAATCAGGATCTGTGTTGACTATAGAGATCTCAAAAAGGCTAGTCCGAAGGATAATTTTCCGTTGACGAATATTCATATTATGATTGACAACTATGCCAAACATGAGATGCAGTCATATGTGGACTATTACGCAGGTTATCACCAAATTTTGATGAATGAAGAAGACGCGGAAAAACGGCTTTCCTTACACCTTAGGGCATATATCACCACAGGGTGATGCCGTTCGGCCTCAAGAACGCCGATGCCACCTACATGAGAGCCATGATGACTATTTTCCACGACATAATTCCTAAAGAGATTGATGTGTACGTGGATGACGTCATAATCAAATCCCGTGAGAGTTCGGATCACTTGACACACCTGAGAAAATTCTTTGAACGCTTGTGTCGTTATAACTTGAAGTTAAATCCCGCCAAGTGCTTTTTGGGAGTCTCAGTTGGGATGTTTTTGGGATTTATAGTCAGCAGAAGGGGTATTGAGCTTGACCCCTCCAAGATTAAAGCAATTCAAGAGTTACCTCCACCGAAAACGAGAAAAAAGGTGATGAGTTTCTTAGGGAGGTTAAACTATATCAGCCGGTTTATAGCACAATCAACAGTGGTGTGTGAGCCTATTTTCAAGTTGCTGAAGAAAGACGCCCGACTAAGTGGACTAAGGTACTTGTCCAACCCACTGGTTTTGGTTGCTCCACGAGAAGGGAGTCCTTTGTTGCTGTACTTTTCTGTTTCAGATAGTGCCTTCGGATGCGTACTTGGTCAACACGACAATACAGGAAAGAAGGAAAAGTCTATCTACTACATAAGCAAGAAGTTTACTCCATACGAGTCTCATTACACTTTGCTGGAGAGAACATGATGTACTCTGACGTGGCTTGCCCAGAAATTGAGACACTATTTGTTAGTATATCTCATTTCCAGAATGGATCCATTGAAGTACATTTTTCAGAAAGCGATGCCACCAGGAAATTAGCTAAATGGAAAATGTTGTTGAGTGAGTTTGATATCGTGTATGTGACTCAAAAGACAATAAAGGCACAAGCTTTGGTAGATCATCTTGCAGAAAATCCTGTTGATGATGAATACGAATCAATCAAGACTTATTTTCACAATGAAGAAGTGTCATTTGTGGGTGAAGACATTTCTAAAGCATACCCAGGTTGGATATTATTCTTTGACAGAGCGGCAAATCATCAAGGTAAAGGTATCGGAGTAGTCTTAGTGTCAGAATCTGGTCAACACTATCCCATGGCAGCTAAGCTCTGATTTAATTGCACAAACAACATGGCCGAATACGAAGCTTGTATTCTTGGTTTGAAAATGGCCATCGGCATGAATGTTAACGAGTTATTGGTCATTGGAGACTCAGATCTCTTGATTCATCAAGTTGAAGGTGAATGGGTTGTGAAGAACCCGGAGATTATACCTTATGTACAGTATGTGCAAAAGTTGTGCAAAAGGTTTCGCAAAATCGAGTTTAGACATACTCCCAGAATACAGAATGAATTGGTCGATGATCTTGCCACCATCGCTTCGATGATCAAACATCCGAATACAAATTATATTGATCCGCTGGATATAGAGTTGAAGGAACATCCAGTCCATTATTCACATGTTGAATCAGAACCAGACAGTTTACCTTGGTATTTTGACATAAAGAGGTACTTGGAGTCTGGGACTTATTGTGAAGACGCTACGACCAATCAGAAGAAGTCGATACGCCGTATGGTTCTCAATTTCTTCCTAAGTGGAGAAGTCCTGTATAAGAGAACTCTAGATTTGGGTCTACTAAGATGTGTGGATGTTGATGAAGCTGTGAGGCTTATTGAACAGATACATGCCGGAATTTGTGGTACACATGTAAATGGGCTCACTTTGGCAAGAAAGATTCTACGAGCCGGGTATTTCTGGATGACTATGGAGAATGACTATTGCGAATTCGTGCAAAAATGCCACGGATGTCAAGTGCACGGTGATTTGATACGAGTGCCACCTCACGAGCTTAATGCTATGAGCTCACCTTGGCCATTTGTAGCTTAGGGAATGGATGTCATTGTTCCTATAGAGCCAGCCGCTTCTAATGGACACAGATTTATCTTGGTTACCATTGATTATTTCACCAAGTGGGTGGAAGCAGTTTCTTACAAGTCGGTAACCAAGAAAGTGGTGGACAATTTTGTTCGCAACAATCTGATATGAAGATTTGGAGTGCTAGAATCCATCATTACTGATAACGGTGCAAATCTCAACAGTCATTTGATGAGAGAGATATGTGAGCAATTTAAGATTATTCATCGAAATTCAACTGCTTATCGCCCCCAAATGAATGGAGTTGTAGAGGCCGCCAACAAGAATATCAAAAAGATTTTGAGGAAAATGATTGACAAACATCGAGGTTGGCATGGAATGTTTCCATATGCTTTAATGGGTTATCGAACGACGGTCAGAACATCGACTGGTGCTACTCCATACTTGCTAGTATATGGATCAGAAATAGTTATACCTGCTGAAGTTGAGATACCGTCCTTGAGAATCATCCAAGAAGCTGAAGTGAGTAAAGCTAAATGGGTTAGCAAACGGATTTACCAACTAACTTTGATTGATGAGAAGAGAATGGATGCAGTCTGCCATGGCCAGTTATATGGACAGAGAATGACTCGTGCCTTTCACAAGAGAGTAAGAGCCAGAAATTTTGAAGTTGGTCAGTTGATTCTTAAGCGTATTTTCCCTCATCAAGAAGAGTACAATGGAAAGTTCGCACCAAACTGGCAAGGTCCTTACATGGTTCGAAAAGTATTATCTAGAGGTGCTTTGGTCCTATCAGAGATGGATGGAAGTGTATGGCCTAAACCTATCAACTCAGATGTCGTCAAGAGATACTACGTGTGAAGCTTCATTTTGCACTTCTGTTATTTACTTGTAATCATTCTGTTTTGCTTGTATTTGTTTTGCTTAAATTCTTATCCCTTTTGTAATGAACTACGTCTGACCTGAATTCTTGAGAATGAGATACGTAGGCGGCCTATGTCGGCTTCGGTCACCCCCATTTATCCCCTTTAATTATTTTTTGTATCTAAACTACGTTCTACCTGAATTCTCAAGAATGAGATACGTAGGCGGCCTTTGTCGGCCTCGGTCGGTTTCTTTGTAAATTTTATTCTTGTTAACCTTTAAGGGGAACTACGTTTGACCTGATTCCTGCCTCAACAGGATTCGTAGGCGCCACAAGGGTTTGGTCATATCTCCCGTAAGATTTCTATTCCCCTTTACAATAGAAACTGGGACAAATTTTGAGAGGGACTCAAAAATTTCCAGAAGAAGTTTCCTCTTCAGCAGGTCAAGCTAAAGATATTTCGAGATCTACAACTGGGACAGAATTTTTGAGAAGATCTCAAAAATTCCGCAATCTGCTCAGCTACAATGAAAAGATAAGCAAGATAGTAAACTGGTACAGAAATTTTGAGAATGGCCTCAAAATTTCATCATGGGACTTACCTATAAGTCCGTAATGACTCTTAAGACTCACCGGCAAACGATCAGATAGACCTCTGAGTGTTAGGTTCAAAGAAGTTTGTTAAGCCTGATATCACATGACTTGGCAGTGACCTTTTCAAGATACTATTTCTCTAAATTTTATTTCTCTTAAATTTTCCCTTTTACGTTTCATTTGTTTGGCATAAAAATTTTGTCTTATCTATCAAGAGTCGGGAAATTGGAAAAATCAAGAAATCGACACAGATCAGTACATCTTTATAATTGATAATTTTTCTGTGGACGCAGGTTTATAGCTTTGCTTTGAAATTGGCAAAATTCTTCCGACGAATGAACAAGGAGAACTCCAAAGAGGAAAAATTATTCCAAAATCAATGACTTCTATAGAAGCAAAAGGCATTTTATATCACTTATGGCGGAGACTTGGGAATATGAATTATTTATTTCAGTCAATTACCAACAATATGAAATTTACAAAGAGCGTTTAGCCAGATTCAAAAGCGAATCAAACAGGAATCTTAAGGAAGAGTTTACGATTTCCGTGAAGGGCGCTATTTGAGTCACATTATCAAGCAAGATAGTCATTTGTAAATCAGGACAATGCATTACCCAAGATTAGATAGTTATTTTATTGTTATTATCGACCAAGGCGATATATTATTTGGAGGTCGTCTTGTCGTTATCATCAACAGAGACGAGATGAATAATCATGCATTGCGGAAAATCATGCATCACGAAAAATCATGCATCGCGAAAAGTCATGCATCGCGGAAAATCATGCATCGCGGAAATCATGCATTGCGGAAAGTCATGCATCGCGGAAAATAATTATGCGTCACGAGAAGATTTCATGCCTTGTCAAATTTATACATCGCGAGAAGATTTCATACCTCTCTGAAATTTAGACATCGCGAGAAGACTTCATACCTCGCTGGAATTTATGCATCACGAGAAGAATCCATGCCTCGTTGAAAATCATGAATCGCAAAAATCATGCATCGCGGAAAATCATGCATCGCGAGTCAATAATTATGCGCCACGAGAAGATTTCATGCCTCGTCAAATTTATGCATCACGAGAAGATTTGATACCTCGCTGGAATTTATGCATCGCGAGAAGATTTCTTACCTCGCCGAAAGTTATGCATTACGAAAAGATTTCATACCTCGCAGGAATTTACGTACCCCGGGAAGATGTTCATGCCCCGCAAGAAGTCATGTATGGATAAAGAAATGGAAATCGTGTATCTCAAGAGGAATATTTATCCATCGGCCTCAACTACATTTCTTATTTTTGATAAAAGCAAACATCAAGAAAAGTATCGAAGATGGCGACAAAAAGAAATATCGATATCGCATCAGCATTTATTTATTTATTTATTTCGACATCAAGTATAGAGTACATCGAATATTATACTACAAAACACAAGTCATAAGCTTTATTTGATGTACGTCAAACTGATAGAGTTGACGTCTAATATTGAGGAGAACAATGAAGTGTCGACATGGTAAAAATACACTGTCTCCCATCCTAATTGCATTTTTAAGTTGACGAGTTTTATTTCAGTCTTTGCCAAGAGCATCCAAAAGGATGAATTCTCCAAAAACCACAAGTGCGGACGACATCAAAAAGGATGCATCACAACGTGAAACTTTTCCTTAGCAGCAAACTGAGACACAGTCCGAAGAGGAATGTCAAACTCTTAGGATATAAGCAGGGGAGCGACTTCCACCACAATCGAACCACTCCCATCCAAAGACATGTGGGTTATTTTTTAATTTTGTCAGTTTCAGTTTCGCATCCGGGAGTTCCGATTTACCGGAAGCAATTTTCAAATCTGAGTGATGATACACCAAGAGTTTTGGAAATGATGTCCGTGTAAGTTCTTACCTATGGATGTGAAGAGTTCCACATTCATTGCTAAGAGGTTACAAGCCTCCTTTTCATGCTCGTTTAATTTGTCACTTGTCCAAAACCGAAGGTTATCTAGCATAATATATTTCCTTTTCAACTGATCGAGTCGAACTACACACAGCTTGATTCCTGAAGCTTTAAGGATATGTAGGCGGATTCAATGTTGAAAACTCGGTTGTATTCCAACATTCGCTCTCCAATTTTATTCTAGAGCATTTCGATACCTTCATAGTTCGGTATTGAGGTAGCTTTTGAATTCTTTCAAAGTCGTGCATTATATCAAGCTTATCGAACAACAAGTGGTCTGAATTCTCATATAGCCTGAGATATGTAGGAAACCCGTTCAAGGGTTCGGCCATAATTCTTAAATCCTTTGTCGAATCCTTCCCTTAAAGATGAATGGGGTTGGTCAAAATTGGCTTGGTCAATTTCATTTCCCTCGAATTTCTTGTATCAATCCAAGTAAAATGAGGGAC